TCTCTGCCTTTCTTTCTGCAGGGGTGTTGTACCCCACCACTCAGCCCAGGGTAGCCCTGAGAGGCAGGGTCGGAAGCCTGCCTCTTTGATAACCTAAATTGTGTTAAAAGACAGCTACTTAAGATTAAAAGTTAATAAAAGAGAGAGAGAGAGAGAGAGAGAGAGAGAGAGAGAGAGAGAGAGAGAGAGAGAGAGAGAGAGAGAGAGAAATCGAGGTTCCCTCACGTGCTGTTGGTATGGTGTCATGGCTTGGGATCGTAAACATAGTCGTTTATTCTCGGAGAACGACCATTAGCACGACCCAGAAAACGTTTGCTGTTGTTGTTGTTGTTGTTGTTGTGGCTGTGGTGGTGTTGTGGGGTCGGTTTGTAGGTCAGTCAGCTTGTGACGTGTGTCGAGGGGAATTGAGATCTGCCTGATTGTTTGTTTGTTGACGGAGCGTGGGAGAGAAGAGAGTGGCTGGGGTGTGTTGGGTCAGATCAGAGAGAGAGAGAGAGAGAGAGAGAGAGAGAGAGAGAAAGAGCGAGGGGGGGAGGGGGAGAGCAAGAGAGCGAGAGAGATATTTTATTTTAAAGACCCTTTGTTCTTCTCATCTGTGTTATATCACAATGGCATTGACCCGATATCCTGTTGCACAGCTTAGTTCATCTTCTGTCATGAGATGCCTGTAACAAAATGTAAGACAGAAACTGTCAGACATTTGGCTTAAAAAACACACAAAGATACGTGTTCAGCCCTACAAACCTAGCTTCGTCTCAGGTCATTGAATTTGTTTTCCCACTTTATACCCCAATTTTCAAGTGATTTTTAAAAACTGCAACATTGTCTAATAATCGTAATATGTCGTATATAACTTATATCGGGCACCCATACAAATAAGACACGCGACAAACCTTTAAAAAAAAGGGGAAAAAATGTTCTGACTGGAGACCTCAGTTTCACCTTTATCTTTATCTGTACAGGAATGGGGTGTATCGCATGAGAGAACATCTTGCAAAACCAGTTTTATTTTCTCTAGATCTTGCTGACGGGGACAGCATACCATAGTAGGTCACATTGGCTCTCAGTGTGAAGATATTAAGACTTGGAAAAAATCTGCAATGTTGTTTTCTAAAGCTTGATATAACATCGTATTTCAGTGTGATTCCTTACAACAAAGCAGAACATGAACATGAATTTGCCCACACACAGGCACAAACACACACACACATGCACGCACACACACACACACACACACACACAAACACACACACACAGACGCTCTTATCTCTT